ATGGGAAGAACAATATTTCTTTACAGAAGTTAAAGGTAAAAATGTATGTTTGTTATGTAATACATCTGTTTTCGTTGCTAAAAAAGGGAATATCGAGAGGCAGTATACGAGGGTGGAGTGAAAAGTTTCCGGCCTGACCAAGAGATGGCGCCACTAGGTCTACTTTTGGAGTGCCGTCCTATAGAACCATTAGTACCAAGCTTGTATGTACAGTTTCAGCCCAATCGCTATGTTAGTTTGCGTTTAAGAGCACATTGCGCGTGACGCATCCGTTGCTTTCCTAAAAATGGAAAAATTGGAAAAACGTGCTGTCATCAGACACTTCTATTTGAAAGGTTTACACCAAAACAAATAAAAGAAGAGGGGGGATTCAACACTAGGAGACTCCTCCCCATCATATTCTACTATTAAGCAGTGGGTTTCTGAATTTAAAATGGGTCGTGTGAGCACCTCTGACGAGCCTCGGTCAGGACGGCCCGTTGAGGTCACAACTTCAGAAATGATTGAGAAGATCCATAAAATAGTGTTGGAAGACCACAGGTTGAAAGTGCACGAGATAGCTGAGACCTGTAGAATGTCAGCTGAACGTGTGCGAAATATTTTGCACAACCATTTGAACATGGACAAGCTGTGTGCAACGTGGGTGCCGCGTTTGATAATGCTCGATCAAAAACTGCGTCGAAAAACCATTTCTACCCATAATTTGGCGCTGTATAGGCGTAATCCAAACGAATTGTTGCATCGATTCATAACTGTTGATGAGACTTGGGTCCACCACTACACTCCTGAAAGTAAAGAACAGTCCAAACAGTGGTTTGGAAAAGGGGAACCAACTCCAAAGAAGGCAAAAACAATTTTATCGGCAAACAAGATTATGGCTACTGTTTTTTGGGATGCGAGAGGAATTATATACATTGATTACCTTGAAAAGGGTAAGAGTATCACACAGCGACCTCATTTGGCGAAGAAAAAAATTTTGTTTCATCACGATAACGCACCAGAGCATTCGTCGATTATTGCCATGTCCAAAATCCGCGAATTGAAGTTTGAATTTATGCTGCATCCTCCCTACTCTCCAGACTTAGCCCCCAGCTACTATTACCTGTTTCATAACCTCAAAAAATGGCTTGGCGGTAACAGATTTAAGAGCAACAAAGAAGTTATCGAAGCTGTAAATCAGTATTTTGAGGAGCTTGACGAATCCACGTTTAAAACTGGTACAACTAAATTAGAACACCGTTATGAGAAATGTATCAGTGTTGATGGAGATTATGTTGAAAAATAAAGCAAAAAAAATGAACGTCAATATCTCGTAGAAATAGTCTCTAACTTGAAGGATAACTTTAAAATCGTTTCAAGGATTTCAACGAAATTGTTATAGTGGCACAATTTGTCGTTTCACCCTTCATGGAAATTGATATCCAACAGTTTGCAACTGCTGTTACGCAGAATTTTAGCGAAGACATCGCTGCGACAGCAATGGAAGTGATTGCGTTTCAGCTTTAAAATCATTAGTCTCAAATACAAAATGTATCTGGCCTTCAGTAAGTAAAGATAAATATTCAGTTTTGTCGTGCTGCCTTGAAAGTAAAAGTGTTATTTAGTTCAACCTATTTGTGCGAATCCTCTTTTTCACACATGAAGTTTATTAAAAACGTAGACTCTAGAAAACCAACTCTACGAGGCACCAACGATATTTCAAGAGGAAATTTCTGAGATGTCGTTAATAAAATACTATAACCTTAGTGTCCAAAAGATTTCAACACAATACTGAGTCGCTGAGAAATAAAGATATAATACGTGTGAAATTATACAATCAAACAGCTATGAAATTTGCCAAAAGAATATCATTAAAAAGGGTTTGGCCTAGGAATGCGCACTCTACCATTAATAAAGAGAAATTCAAATTACTGATAAGTGATCAAATTAGTAAAAAAAAGGTTTTGGTACGTGACGTCCAAAGGTTGTAGCAAATACCGCTGGCGATTTAGGGTCAATACAAATACTTATAACATTTGTAAAGACCCAAACTCAGCGACACATCACTCTTACGACAATGAAAAATATACAAAATATAAGCTTTTCAAAATTTCCTATTAACATAAATAAAGTCCGACTAATATTTTGTACCCCAAAATTACTTTTCGCCTACGCCTTAAAAGGATTAGAACAAGCTTATAGCATTCTGATTCTTAGAAAATGCTTTTATATGCCATAAAATTATCGGCGATTCTAAATCATAAAAAACATAAACACCGCGCTTGGAAATGGTTTTGTTTTCACAAAAAGCTTACAAAGCCCCTCGAATTCGTAAAATTTCACGATGTTTTCTTCAACTACAATGCGGGAGGTGAACTGGGCATTTTCAAATTTTAGCAATTTACTACAATTATCAAGAATGGTCAATACCGCGTTGTTAATAATTGATTGACCGAATTGGTCAATTCATTGAAAAGTAAACGCCACAAGCCCCGACAAACTTGTGAAGGAACGGATATTTACTGTGAAAATTAGTGCTATTTTAATAGTAGTATTTCAAAATATCTAATCAAGATTGCCGGGAACGGAAAATGTATCCGAAAACAAAAATCTCCTAAAATCCATGCAGGGTTGCTGTGGTAAACGATACTTCAATTGAGAAATAGAGAAAAATAAGTATCCAACAGACTTCAAAATGTACTTGTAATCATTCAACACCATCATTCTCTTATGAAGCATCAGTTCACTTTTGAAAGATACATAAACGATACATAAGCAGTTTTATCCCATCACTTTTTGTATTTGTATTCAATATGAAGTTTGTGTAAATTGAAGGAAATCGGAGTGGTGAAAAAGTTTTGCACCTGACCATGTAAGCATTAGATGCCTGAACACACGTTGCTTTCTGACCAATTCTTTGTGCGTTCAGAATGCCGTCAGTAGTTCAAAAGGATTACCAAAGAATTTGCTAATTAGGCATTCTTCCCAAATTTGTATGGGCTACCTCTAACCTCTATCTAGTATGCGAACTGAACTACCGTGGAATTAACGCGTGCTTCAGCACTTATTCTATCTACTTTTTCACCATAGCTATTGCACAATATTTCAGCACTTATTAAAAAAATCATATTACTGCAACTTTGATGATTTTGAGGTAGACATACAATACGTAGAATAGAAATATTTTCGAGGCAACTACCTGTACACATTCACAGATTCAATACAATTACAAAAAATTGCCACAATGTAAGTTGTATGAGTATATGTAAAAGTGTGCACTGCAAGCAACACTATAATAATACCACCAAAACACCTTGATGCACTAAAAGGAAAAACGCTGCAGCATAGATACAGTTTTGCATCAAACCAAAATATTGTTAAGCTGAATACGATTTTGGCATCCATTACACCTACTGATGCGTGCATCAAAAATAGTCAGTCAGTTATATATTGGCCACCCTGTATAAGGTTTCAAGAACCCTCAGCGTCATACGAAAAGTTTTTTGAACATTTATCATTTGTTTCTGGCGGAGGTTTATATAGCTTATATCTATATTATGAGGATAATCTCAGAAACAAGACGGTCAATTTAATTACGATCCCTCGACAATATAAAAATTTGAGGCATTTTTATACATTGTGACCTAACGCAAGTACCTCTTTAAATTCGTACAACTGAACTACAGAAAATATTCGCTATCATCTACCGGGTCATTGGTACAGTAGGCCGCTCAGAGATATTGGATAAAAGCAACCGTATTCTCTCCCCCTATACAAACCCACCCCACGTATAATCCCCGTTTGAAGGGGTGAAAAATTTCCTATATGGGTGTCTTATGTCGAGCTTTTATATCTACCATGGTAGAATTACATAGAGGGTGTCCCAAAGTCCAAACAAAAATATGAACAAGAGCTTCGAAACAGGATGCAATATAGGCTACGCTTCGGTCTTTTTGGAATTCTGGGGATCTATATTAAGATATTAGGGTTAGGGTAAACATTTCTGTCTAACTGCTGGTCAAATAACCACACGTAGCCCGCCTAATAGCGGCAGCTGAATCGGAGTACATGTGGACCGCGTTCAACTTCCATACTGATACGACAGAGACACTGTAGAGTTTCAGCTTTCTTTATGAATATTTCAAAAACTTATTAAAATATTACCTTATTATTTTGCATAGCGTTTTGATGCTCAAGGATTATACGGTTAATGCTTTAAGCATATCTATAATTGAATCGGATATTTCGAAAACCATCTGAGTCATTGATCCCAAAATATCTGTTTGCTGGAAATACTTAATCTAGTAAGTCAATACATTCCGTCCCTTTCAAATAATACCGCATATACGTACATGTACATAGCAAAAATAATTTGTGACTTAATGTTGTTTTGCATGTTTAACTCGACGGCGGGTAACTGATTGAGCCGTATTTATAAAAAAGAAGCATATCCTCGGAAGCATAAGGTGAAAGTATAAGGTCTTGCTTCGGAGAAAAAGGTAGAAGTATAAGCATATCCTTGTTTTCATATTCATAATGATTACCTTATACTCGCGAGGATATCTTCCAAGAAGAAGTAAAATGTTGACTGGTATTTGTATCTTGAACGACATGTCCTGACATGTACCAGCTTGTAGTTGACGTGGGAGTTCATTCACTCAGCATCACTGACAGTTGTACTCCAGAGCTTACACAAACCGTTCCGTATTTTTACTGGATACAGTTTTTTATCAAATTAATAAGCATGTCATCCTCAAGTGATGAGAAAACTATTGAAAATAACGGCAATGACTTGCAGTTCATCGCAGATGAAATTGCCATTGCTCCCATTATTTTGCAAAAGTCACAAGTTCCAAAAATAAAATGTTAAAGGACGATGCCTTGAAGATGTTGAAAAAATACGAATCAACATTCGGTAAACCATTTGAGACTAAAGGCTTATTAAAAAATATCAACAATATGAAATCAAGTAGTACAACATTTGCTTTATTTATTAGTTGTGATCTAGTCTGTGAATTTCTCTATATTCTGGAATCATGCACTAATCCAGCCCAACTGACATCAAAACTTGTGAATATCTCTCTGGCATCACAAGTGGCTTGCACATTTAAAGTAGGTTTCTCTTTTCGGTTGATATACTCATCTCCATGGCGATTTGGTTTCAGGATTCCTATATGTGTACAATCAATTACACCAATTGCTGTCGGAAATTTATACATGCTTTGCCATATCCGCTTGGCCTCCATCAGTTCATGGTTGGTAGTTGGAAACTTGATCCACTGTGCAACTATGCTGTTCACAACTCTATCCACCATCCGAGATACCGTTGCTTGACTAACACTAAGTTCCTGACCAATACCTTGTTGATATCCAGGGTCACCGAGATAGTGTAGACATATCTTCATTTTATGAGTACATGAAAGTGCTCCTTCTCGAGTTTCCTCATTCTCAACTAAAAATCAGATCGCAAGCCATTGTACATTTGCTTCGTCGAACCGATATAATTTTTTGAAGTCAAGACCAAGTGAAGGTCAACGAGGTTTGTACGTTTTAACATTCCTAATATACACAATTTCCGCCATCATCGTTTGACCACCTTTCATTACGAAGTTGAGTCTGCTATTGACCACACTCAGAATTTTTAGAGGTTATGCTTGCTATGCCAAGTATAAGGTGAAGATTATGAATATCCTTTTACTTATGTCACTGCTTTGAAGGATATTCTTATACTCAAAAAGCAAAAGCGTTTACTTCAAATTATTATAAATACCATCTGGAGGATTTCCTTCAAAATTTGCAAGTACAAGGATATCCTTTGTTTTATGAATACGTCTCATTATTTTCTTTTCATATTCATGTGCCAAAATACCAATATTAAATTCACTAAGTACAAAAATAAAATTACGGGTGAATGCGGTACCCACTTTCCCTTATAAATACTATACTGGTTATTGAATCTTTGTTGTATTGTAATCCAAACCGCAACTTTGATGTACACGTAATCCAGCATGTAGAGCATCAAGTATAGTGAAATTCAGAAAAATGAAAAGAGAGATATTTAAGCTGGTTCAATGTCTTTTGACAGTGTAGTACTTTAAGATGAGTGCTAAGTTCTTGAAAAATATAGCCAAAAATCGATATTTTTGCAGATGTAGGTTAGAATGACTCGGAAATTAGAGATATTTGGACCACGGATTCGGATTCAGCGCAACAAAAACCTTCTGAAAATATTCTCTGTTTTATAGGTGAAAATCTTATCGGCATGTCAAGAAGATCGAACCATTAAGCCGATGGCCGATGCATGGCTCAGATGGAAAACACGAAATTTGATTTTCCCATGGAGACATGCAAAACTGAAACGTGTAACATGTAAAAATGAGTCAATGTTTAAATGCAATAAGCAATAACAAACATATAATTAACACGAGTCTGTTGCTTTTTTCATAATAATTCTTGTTTATTTGGCAATGACACTGTTTTATTCTAAAGTATGTGAGACATCAGAATAACAGAAGTCATGGATAGACCAACTTTGGAGCCAGCCTATTCAAGAACGGTGAATCTCCTTCCAATTTTTTGGTAACGATTAAATGTCCCTCAAATTTCATATAATCAGTTTTTCAGACGTTTCAATAAATTTGTTTTTGACGAAAAATGAAAAAATACGGATAATCACCATTTTGTCTTTTATGACAAGTTACATACACGAATATTTTTTACCAACGTCTTGTACGAGGATAACCGCTATTTAATATGATTAAAATGATGAACAGCCGCAAATAGCTTTATAGCCAAACAGAGAGGTATAAAGCTCAACATATTGTGCATGAAAAATGCGTTAACTATGTATTAATAGTATATGAAAACAGTAAATATAATTAAATGCAGCTGTTAAATTCAGACAGGAAAGTATAGCTCCCAAGAAAATATCAGCCAAGTTAATAAGACAGCAAGCACAGTAATGTCGTCGATTTCGAATTTTTGCCAAGTCTATTTTGGTCGCCCTATTTAACATTGTTTGCCTTCAGTGGCGTTGCAAAATAATGAAAAAAAACACTTATCTATTCAAAAGCTTTTGATACGGACTAAAAGAATATTGACACTGACAGACTCCTAGATGTTACAAACTCACAACGAAACGGTTATTAGATGCTACAATAGAAATAACTGTAGCCTGGCAGAAGGGTAACTCTCGCTCACAGCCTAAGGGTAGTATCAACAAAAGCTACAGAATTTTGGGGCTAGATTGCCCATCGAAAGCATGGCAACGGTCGAAATAAGTCACCATGTGACTTCTAGATGGCTGACGATTTTGGATGTATAGTATATGTGGTCTACTTGCCATTGAATAAACTAAACATGATGCTTTCGTCTGGGCTATTAAACGCGAACTGAGATATTTACAGTTTCAACCAGAAAACTATTTTTTCTATTCTATCAGAATATATCATAATCCTTATTTAGAACGACTATCGTAGAGCAAATTAGTTAAATACGTGTCAAAAATATGTAAATTGTGTAATGAGTAGCTTATGCTCTTTTTCACCAAATAAATTGATCTGTGATGCTTGAGTCCTTTTCGTTCCTCAGAAACATTGAGAATATTTTGGCACGAAAAATAAATCTACCGTGGACAAGCAGCACGTCAAATTCAATAAATTGCCCTGTTTTAAGGGTAAATGTACGGGGATGATGAGTGAAAAATGCCTAATATGTGCGTAGAATTACTGGGGTTGGAGTAGTATAAATATAACAACGATAAAAAAAAATGTGATATACCATCCCCCACCTGCTGCAACCCCTTATCCCCAATTGTTAATCCCTAAAAAAAAAATTCCGAAAATGATCATCATCGTCTGAAACGTCAAAAAACAAGTTTGAGCGATTTTTATTTTTTGTTTTGTTTTTGGCCAACAACAATACTTTCCCGCCAGTAGACGTGGGAAGTAAAAATGAGATTTCAAGCCCTATGACGTCTAGCTGCCTATTAACCTAATAACCCCTCACCAATCCTAGTGATAAAGGAAAATGCTACAGACAACAGCTTGTTAGTGACATGACAGATAATAATAAGTTTGAGCTGTTTCTATTTTCGTATTTTAACATCAGTATTGATGGGTGTATTCCCATCAAAAAATTATTTGATACGTCCATGTACGCAGCTTTTGAACAATAACTTATTTTTAACCATACAGTCGCTGGAGAAAGGTTAAAGCTTTGTCTCATTAGTCTATCTCTATATCTAGAAATGAACAAATAAGCTAAAACTTTTTGAATTAAACTATTTATTTGTTATTATATACAGGGTGTAAAGTTAGTAGTGGATCAACGGAAGTCAGGTGATAGAGGGCTTCGAAATCTATCGAATGAACCCCTATACATATATGTGGTCCGAAATTTTATAATTCAGGAAATATTTGCATTTAAGTGCCTTTCCTGGCGTTGGATAGGTAGAGGTAGACACATAGGATGGCCTCCAACGTCACTCAATTTAAATCCTCTAGATTTTTTTATATGCGGCTTTATAAGGGGATAATCTATACATCTAAAAATACAAATGTCAACCAACTGCGGAAAAAAAATGATGAAGCAAAAATAAGAATTATGGAAAACGCAAATTCATTTCAAATACTAAAGGAAAATTTTATTAAAAGGTGTCCCTTGTGTGTACTTTTTATTACATATTCAGATAGGCGCTTTTAAGAAAAGAAAATTTTGATATAACATGACACAATGAGTTTTGATTATCGATTTTTTGAGCTATTTTATCTAGAAAAACATCAAAGTTTGATAGTCTGCATATCTGCTGACTTGACAGGCAGGGCAGTGAAGTTTGTGTCACTTTTTTTATCATACACAATTTCAACCTTAATCATCTGCTTTTTGAATTTTTTGAATGATCAATACAGGGTGGTCAAAAACGCAAAATGCGATTTTTCTCAAAAAAAAAAAATAATTAAATGGAACGCCTTGTATAATTTAACATAATGCGTGCTGCTATGGGCTGTATGCTGTAAGTCAATATCGTCATCCACGCGGGATTAGGCATAGCAACGATCATGTGCACCCGCAGAAATTTCTCTCAGGGGGAGTAAGGAAGTTATTTGATTTAATGTTATACATGTTCGAAGTTAACTTTTTATCCTTTACGAACTGAAGAAACCCTTGCAAGTCTTTTAGTTTACATTACGCCATTGTTTTTATAAGCCGTCAAAGAAATAATTTTTCACATATATTCAAAGCTGTTTCAGGAGAACATTGTAGAACACGAAAACATCTGGAAAATGAAACCTTATATGTTCAATTTGCTGTAGTAGATTAGGTTTTTATTCCAAGAAATGCCAACTTGCAAATTTATTTTTTACCAAAAATGAGCAACAGAAAATACGACATAATAACCAAAACTTGAATTCCTTGTGGTGGTTAGCACCCAGAAAAAACAAACATTGTCGAAAAATTTATAATTGTTGTTGATTTTTTTGAGGTTAATGGTAATTTTTTATGAGATGTTTAGTAATGTAGTCACTGGAGCAAATTGGGCATATGAGGTTTCATAGCCCATTTTCATCCTCTATAACTCTTCTGTAATAACAAAGTTAAACAGGAAAATTTATCGTATCACTAGATGGAAGACATTTTCATTTACCGTTGAGAAACATAATTCCGTTGTGAAATACGTCTATATAATTTTTTCTAGAACAATATGAGGGCTACAATATATGTAGATACGCATTGGACGCAGTGGTATTTGGGCCTAAATTCTAAACCATTATTGTATCCTGTAATCAAATCAACAACCTATGTAGAATATTGCAGAGGCAATAAAAGTTTTCAAGTGACGCCTATGAGTTCGGCAGTGTCATTAAAAGGGTAGTTTTCCCTCACCTCAGCTATGCTCATTTAGTAACCCGCGTACAACTTCATATTAACTTACATTATTGATGAGCTCTTTCTGTGCATGTGTACAAAACAGACGCCATTTTTAGATTTTTTATCGACGACAGCAATGAAGGTCCTCAAACACGAAGAAATCGATGAATCCCTTCAGATGTTTGTATATATGAATAATTGTTGTTTCGTGTAGCAATCTGATTCGCTTAGTTAACATAAATATTCACAACTGTGAAAAAGGGTACATGCAGAGATATTAGAATTTGCATGGATAGCAAAAAGGCAATGCTCGCAAGTGTTACAAACTCACAACGAAAACAGTACTATAGTCAAAATCACGAAAGATGACTATTAGGTCATACCGTAAATTGTTCTGAAGTAATCAATGCACGTACGTCGATGCTAAAATCACGATGTCAGAAACATATTGACAAAAAATTTATATTATGATTTTGCGAAGTTAGGTTATTTTACTGATTATTTTTATTTTATTTCATGGTTTTGAGTGATGCCT